CTTTTTTGCACTCAGCTAGACTAAAGCAAGCACAGCTGCAGATAATGGTGATCACTGGTTGATACTGCAGGGAACCAGTACAATATCTACAATATTCTCATATAGTAAGGTGACATTTAGAACTATTTTTTCAAAGAGTCTCCACCCACTTCTAAATTTGTGCCCTTATTTTTGTGTGCACAATTTATTTGTGAGAAAAAAGGTGTTTTTTCAGATGCCAAAATGCAGGTGCAAATTTATAGGTGTTTTTTTTTTTTAATTCTGACACTCAGTAAGGGCCATCCAAAAGTGCTTTCACAGATGAACTTGAACCAAGTGCCTCTATCTTCTTTGTTATCCATATGCCATTTCACAGTGACAAAATGTTGAAGTGGTATAAATAAAATTATGTTCTTTTTGCAATTGCGTATACAAAAGATTGTGCAGACAATTTAACTGCAAACATCTCAAATGTCCTGCAAAATTCATCCTTACTTATTATGACAGTTTTGTTCTGTTTTTATTCCTAAAGATTTCCATTTACAGTACTGGTGCTTTTCAATGCTACCCTAATGAGATTTTCAAAATAGTCTAAAAATAACCCTTTTTGCTAAACTCCCACCTTTTAAAGGCATTTTAAGTACTTCACAACTTGTATCTATAGGACCATATATTTGACTCCTTCATTAAATATTTATGGGATTATGAAACTAAAGGAGCTGAAGTACTATTTTGCTGTAGACAGTATACATAGATGGCAGTGAATATTTTAGCCTAAATCAATCAAGCCAACAAATTCAAAAGTCTATATAGTATGCAAGTATTTACTTTGGAAAAAAACATTTGTTGCAACATAACCAGACACTTAGATGTATACAGTATCTTCAGTAGCCTAATAATTAAATTACCTGAAAAGATTTTCCCCTTATCATGTGACTTACAATGCTCAAAGGGTTAATGCAAGGCATTACATCAAATTAATTTTCTAATACTAGAAATAAGCACTGTGTTTATGCTTCTATTCCAGTTTTTTTTAAATCACCAAAGTATCAGAGATACTATAATTCCATTCATTGACTTATTTTAACCATGTATACAGAGGTTGTCCTGTTCCACAGAGACAAGGGCCCAATTTTCAGGAATTAGTACTGCTCTCCCAAATTAATATTTCAATTCTAAAATTACTGTCAAAAATGAGTTCTACTATTACAGAGTTTATTGATTTCTTTTTATGGCTATAAATGATTCTTTTGTTCTGTGAAACCACTTCTGTAAATGAAACAACTGCAATCCATTTTAAACTAATATATGTGTTTTCCTAAACAGTGCAGATGACATCTGGTAAGAACCACAAAGATATCAGATAAGGTCTTCAAATGAAAATAATTTGAACATAGCAGTGTTTCAGACATTTAAAAATACCTTGTTTGAAATTAAACAAATTTGTATATAGACCTATACATTCCTGAATGACAATACACCAGCATTTTATTGATTTTACCATTTGTGAAACTCAAGGCAGTAATGTTGCACATCGCTTATTTTATAGGTAAACAATTTTAAAACTATTCTCCAGATGTTGTGTAAGGAATATTATCTAAACAAAGATGCATTAAACATGCTACAGTACAAGAGTAAGCACAAAAAGAATAGCTAGTTGGAGAGACAAAGTAATTTTAAATCTAGTGTACTATGAGAAACATGAAAAAGTACCAACAACTTTGCATACATATAAAAACTTGTGAAAATTGGGCCCTGTGTTTTGAGAAAGTGGTTCAACAATACCCCCCACATTGCTCACTGCATTATTTGTGCTAAAGGGGGAGAGGGATATTTTTTAAATAATTATTCTGAAATCAGTGTCTGGATCAGATAAAATCCACAAATCACATAGGCACTGACCCTGCAATTTGTAGCATGTGGGCAAACTGTTGCACCCCCACAGAGCACCAATGAAGTTAGTGGGCTTAAGGGTTGGCACTTAAGTCCAGCCACATGCTACACAATGCAGAACTGGGGACAGGGTTTTTAAATCTCTGTTTTTACCAAAAATCATTAACCGTGCCCATATATTAACAAATAGCAAAAGTGTGCAAATTGATTGATTATATACATAGTGTTTGATTTATTACCACTCCATTAAATGTAAAAAACCAAAAACAGAAACCCATAAAACACCACCCAAACGTGTAAATATACACAGTATTTTACTTCATTAAAGGAGAGATCTTGTAAGAAAGTGATAGAAATGTTATTTAAAATTGACACTGTAATCAAATTATAAACATGGGAATACAAACTCTATTTCATTCAATTAACTGAACATGTCATGATTCCAATTTATTTTGATAAATAACACACTTTTTCAGATCACCTCTAGTTAATTAGGATTTCTGGCATGTTAGATTTTCAGATTCACCTAACGTTCTGGTTTTCATCTAAGGCATAAAAATTATTGTTGGTTCAAACTGTGAAATACATTCCATTTTTGTATTTACTCTTATTTTTTGCACAGTGGGAACAGTGAACAACTGGGGGAAGAAGTTGAATCATGGAGGACTTACAGGCTCCACCTCTGATAGTAATCCAAATTTGCATGTTACAATCACACTTTTCTCTCAGCATGAGCAAATCGAACATTAAAACAATACAGGACAATGACAAGAAAACATTTAAGGTTTGCCAACACAAAAGATGAAACCAGTAAATATAGCTGGTCCAATTCAGAACATTGGTATTAGAGCATTAAAAGAAACTACGTTGAAAATGGAAAATATTTTGTTATTTTTATATTTAATTTAACCTGTAAACAGTTCATAATGCACAATGAAGGGGAATAAATATTTATCACAGCTTAGTTTTTTTTAATGAGGGGTGCAGACACACTCTTTTGTATGGAAAAAAAAAAAACCACAACAGGACACCCAAATGATATCTGGGTGAACAAAACCTATGAAACTTAGAGCTTGCATAATTTTCAAATACTGTAAATGACAAACCCTATCTTGCACTCTCTACTCAGGGAAAACACCCATTGACTGGTGCGAGCTGTAGAGCATGGAAAATTGGGCCCCAAATTCTGCAAAGTACAACTCTAAGCAATTTATACTTATTTTATACATTAAAAATGTTTACTAGTGTATTAAGAAAATTTACTTAATCTGTATCAGTTCTTGGAGCATATGAAAACTCTAGCAAGAAAGATGTATGCTATAAATATACTGTTCATCTCACATGCTGTTCAGCCATTTGGTACATGTAAAAAAGATCAGTTCACAGACACACTAAATAAACCAGACTAAATAACTCCTTAGTTTTTTTTTTTCAACAGGCCCTTTCAATAAAACTGAAATGTTTGTGTGTGTGCTTTCCTTCATTTTTGGCTTTTTTGCTTGCTTGTTTATTTCCACTATTAGAACTGAGTAGATCTGTGTGCCTGTTTTAAAAATAATGAAATGTATAAAATAATCACACATGCCTGTGGGATGTTTCATGTCAATTAAAATGGGACGTACACACATTCTCTATGATTTAGCCATTAAACGTAATTGCAGACTGACACCCCACCACACATACAAATTGAAAACATGCTCTGCATTAAGTACCTGCTCATTTTGTTTACTTTCTAAAATTAAAAGTAGACAAGGGTTTAGAAAATATATAACCATGCTTGGGGCTGGGGTTAACCTACTTTGTTAACATTTGAAGTTGGCATTAAAGCTAGTTTTGCTTTCCAGATCCCCAAGCATATCTCATTTGTAATAAAGTGAAATTCAGCTAGAAACAAGAAAAAATAGGTTTATTGTCACTCTAAGAGGGATATTAACACCATTTAGTAATAAAAAATTTCCTTTATTTCTTTGAAGAATATGTAACCTGCCCTTACTTCTTAGGGAATTTGAAAATGACAGGCACACCTTGTTGAATGAATTTAAGAGTTATTAATAACAAAAAGTACTAAATCTTAGCTTCAGTTCTATTTAAGGCACCATGTAATAGCCGAGGTACAATGATCCCTGATGTACATTCTTAAATGGCAATGGTCCATCTAGCCACCTATTCAAATTCTACACAATTGGGAATAAGTACAAATGAGGTGTGCCAGTTACACTGCCTTATTTAATTTTTGTAAAAATTTAAATCCACTTACTTTAAGAACCAGGAAATATTTTTGAAGTAAATATGATGCAGGTTGCTACATTCCTTGCATTCTATAAGTTATCTTTTATAAGAGCAGCAGATTCAACTACTAGTAGGAAAAAGACCTGGAATAGAAGAAAGTCATCCAGACGGAATGGTTTCCTGTATGTCCAGTTCAGCATAAGTAGCACATACACTTAAAAAAATCAAGTCACTTCTTTTTCAACTTCAGTATCTAACTACTACAGTCCCACTTAACAGCTGAAAGCATCTGTGCAGTGGTCTCAAATATAGAATCAGTAGTCTTCAAACAGAGGAACTGGTATGCAAATAAAATGTAAAACTGATGATTTCAATGGAAGTTTGCATTGTTTACGTGATGGTCTGATAATTATGTACATTTATTACGTACACATTACCATTCTCTCATTTAGTCTGCATTCATGAATGCAGAAAACACAACTCTTCCTTAGATAAAGAAAACAATAGATCTTCCCAACCCTCCAGCATTATAATAAAAATTCCTAAAACTTTCCCACTGAATGCTCAGAAATGTGATCAAAATAGTAGTGTCTTCTAGTTCTGTCCAATGAAAAGCACCTTTTTATGACAAATTTGATGCATCTGCTGTCAAATGAATATGCCTCCAGTGTAAATCAAAGAAAATATTTCTTTTGATATTTCACAGAAGTGCATCTAATTAAAAAACTATGTATATTAAATCATCACCATAACTAACAATTAACATTAACATTTTAAAAAAAACTATGAAAAAATTAAATTACTTTAATTATAAGAGGACAAAAACATTAATAGTAAGCTTTGCAAAATCCTTCTTGACATGTGAAACTAAGAAAACTCTTAATATTGAGTGACCAATGTAAAATGATTTTGTTTACAAAAAATTTTTTTTAAACAGATCTGGCAAAATACATACACCCATTCCATTTCACAACTCCAACAAAGGTAATGTTCAGCAAAGCTAAAATTTGACAACAGTCGCCTTCAGACTTATTCTCATTTTTTCATAGTAAGCCCAACATCAACAGGGCTAATGTAATCTGGGGGGAAAAAAGCTTTAATATTTTGTTAGACTGCAGTATATGTATTTCCAGTAGCACTGCATTGTCTGATAGTCTGAGTACTTGTGACAATGTGCTCATTGTGAAGTGGGGTCAGGAGGTTCTGCTGTACTCCACTCTCTAGTACTGGCTGCATGCAGCCCACCTGAAATGCCTGGGTTAGCTCTGTTTTCTCTCTCTTGGCTTGTGGCTCTCCAGATTCCTCTAGCTCTTCATCTATTTCGCTTTCAACTTCACTGCCTTCATCTGCACAAACAAACAACCATGAAACTAGCACACAGTGAAAAATAATTTAAATACTGTGAATTACTAAGGCTTTTATTTTGCAAACAACACGTAAGATATGAAAAATGGAAATCTAGCTACCTGAGAAAGTATAAACTGAAAATTGAGATTTTACTGGGAAAATGTCAGTGCATAATGCGAGATTCATGTGTTCAATGAACTCTCAGCTTCAAACATTATAGTACACATTCTTAATATTGCAATTGCTTTTTTCCCCTTCAAGTCAGCTCAAACAAATATAATAGTGTCACTAAAGTAACAATAACTTTATACTTATATAATGTCTTTCATCTGCAGGATTAACATAAACTGAGGTGAAGAGAAGCTAAGTGACTTGCCCAAGATCACATAGCAAGCCAGTGGGAAAGAAGAGAACAGAGGCCAGATTTGCTGATTCCAAGACTCTACTTAGACGACCTAGAAATTTACCTGCTCTCTGTTATACTTCTCACTATTTAAAAAGTTTGCCAAATAACTAAGTGCTTGACAAACAATGGGCGCAATTTTGCAGTCCGTAGAGAAAACTCTTACAGACTGTATAGATTCACTCACCAGCATGTAGCTAGTTTTGGGATGGGATTCTGAATACCTACTAATGTATAAACAATCAGCCCTTTTAAAAGATTTTCTTATTAAAGGCCATATCTGCAGCATCCTGCAATTATTATATACTGAAACATACTGTAGATATTATAGAACACTAATTCAGAAAACTATCACAATCTAGTTGTAGGATCTGCGCTACTATATTTTAGGGCTGTCAATCGCAGTTAACTTACGCGATTAACTTGAAAAAATAAATCACGATTAATCGCACTGTTAAAGAATAGAATACCAATTGAAGTTTATTAAATATTTTTGGATGTTTTCTACATTTTCAAATATATTGATTTTAATTACACCACGGAATACAAAGTGTACAGTGCTTACTTTATATTTTTTTATTACAAATATTTGCACTGAAAAAAACAAAAGAAATAGTATTTTTCAATTCACTTAATACAAGTACTGTAGTGCAATCTCTTTATCATGAAAGTTGAACTTACAAATGTAGAATAGTTATGTATAAAAAAATAACTGCATTAAAAATAAAACAATGTAAAACTTTAGAGCCTACAAGTCCACTCAGTCCTTCTTCAGCCAATTGCTCAGACAAGCAAGTTTGGTTAAAATTTGCAGGAGAGAACGCTGCCTGCTTCTTGTTTACAATGTCACCTGAAAGTGAGAACAGGCATTTGCATGGAACTTTTGTAGCCAGCATCGCAAGGTACTTATGTGCCAGATATGCTAAACATTCGTATGCCCCTTCATTCTTCGGCCACCATTCCAGAGGACATGCTTCCATGATGATGATGCTCATTAAAAAATAATGTGTTAATTACATTTGTGACTGAACTCCTTGGGGGAGAATTGTATGTCTCCTGTTCTGTTTTTCCTGCATTCTGCCATATATTTCATGTCATAGCAGTCTCAGATGATGACCCAGCACATGTTCGTTTTAAGAACACTTTCACAGCAGATTTGACAAAACACAAAGAAGGTACCAATGTGAGATTTCTAAAAATAGCTACAGCACTCGACCCAACGTTTAAGAATCTGAAGTGCTGTCCAAAATCTGAGAGGGACAAGGTGTGGAGCATGCTTTCAGAAGACTTAAAAGAGCAACACTCAGATACGGAAACTCCAGAACCTGAACACCAAAAAAGAAAATCAACCTTTTGCTGGTGGCATCTGACTCAGAGGATGAAAATGAACATGTGTCGGTCCGCACTGCTTTGGATCGTTATCGAGCAGAACCAGTCATCAGCATGGACGCATGTCCTCTGGAATGGTGGTTGAAGCATGAAGGGACATATGAATCTTTAGGGCATCTGGCACGTAAATATCTTGCAGCGCTGGCTACAACAGTGCCATGTGAAAACCTGTTCTCACTTTCAGGTGACATTGTAAACAAGAAGTGGGCAGCAGTATTTCCTGCAAATTGTAACCAAACTTGCTTGTCTGAGATTGCACTATAGTACTTGTATTAGGTGAATTGAAAAATACTATTTCTTTTGTTTTTTTTTTACAGTGCAAATACTTATAATAAAAAATAAATATAAAGTGAACACTGTACACTTTGTATTCTGTGTTGTAATTCAAATCAATATATTTGAAAATGTAGACAACATCCAAAAGTATTTAAATAAATGGTACTATTCTATTATTGTTTAACAGTGTGATTAATCATGTGATTAATCGTAATTAACTTTTTTAATCGCGTAATTAATCGCGATTAATTTTTTAATCACTTGACAGCCCTACTATATTTACATAATATTAAGATTTGTCTTGCTCCAGATAATACTAGTTCTATAAAGAATTATATGTTCAAGAGATTAAGTACTTACCTTTATCCATATTTCCAGGGGAAACAGCATTTAAGTCGCCAAACTGCAAAATAATAAATATTCTTGGCTAGTCTTAAAACCCATACTGCACGTCCTATATAAACATCAAACAAAATGGTGACATAGTCCATCCTTTTTATCATGTAGTTAGAAAATGATTTACAATTTAACTCACCAATTTTTTAAAACAGTTACAGTCAAATAACTGCTTTGCTGCCGTGGTGCAAAAACAGCAAGAAAAACCTTTGTTTTTCAACTGGTACACCTTAATCTGAATAATTCTGATTCTATAGTGCAGAGACTAGGAAACCTTTAAACCAAGTTATCAAAATTAAGATGTAGGACAGCATATTTTAGAAAAGACACAGTGAAGCTAAATATATACCAGTTGTGAAAAAAATATATAGTTTCCACAATGGGTAGATTAATCACCTTGAAGATTTTTTTGCAAATAAGACCGTTTGGTTTTTCTTTTTGGTGATTTTTAAATACAATCTTTCTACTGACCAAAAAGGAAGCATATATAGAGGTGAGGATGACCGGGTGCAGAAAATCAGAGAGACTTTCACTTAGTACAGTAGCTCATTTTCCATTCCCACTAAGATGCATTTTACCATGGTTTACATTAAGGAAATAACATCAAAGCTAAAATAAAAAGCCCCAGCAATGAAAATGGTGAAACAAATTAAAAACTGAAGTTAAAATCCTGATTAAAATAATTATCTGACATCTTTGCCAGGACCTTTGCCTGTTTTGAGTGCAAGCTCTTTGAGTAAGATATTCCTGCATTGTAAAGTTCAGAAAATATTGTTGGTGCCTATGATGTGCTGCCAATATTTAAACAAAAAGCTTCCACAAAATTTCCCCTTAAGAGGGTGGCTGGATTTCAGCAATGGGATGGCCAGGACCAGGTTGGAAATTATGTGGCAAATGATGATGACCTGCACTGTACAATTTTATTGCTGGATATTCCCAAACACTTGAAGTGACAGAGTTGCAGTCTAATTAAAACACATCAGTTGCCTCTTGTCTTTCTTCCAGTGTGGCCAAATAGTTGGGGTTTATATCAGGTGTATCTTATTCTGGTAATTAACTGATTTATGCAAACTAACTAAATGCAATGTTGCCTACCAGCCACCCATACCACCTGGAAAACAATGCTCCAGTTCCATCCCTTTTTTGAATGAGAAACTGTAGAACAAAATCTGACCTATAATTCTTAGGTCAGATCAACATATATTTATATAATATATTTCTAACACTACTTGGCTTCATTCTGGTCAAAAATACAGAAAGAATTAGTCTTCCTTTTGCTATTTCATCCAAAACCAGGAAGTGCACAGATATACAAAAGGGAATAAATAAAAAATAGTTAACCACTTTCCCCCAAAAACTCAAAACAGTTTTGGGTTGGTTCTTATTTGAGCTATAGAAGTTTGCCAGTCCTCAATTTATACCAGACCATTATTGAAACCCTCATGCTAAACACCTCACAGTTGGCAAATTCTATTTCAATTAAAAAGACAGAAATATAGCAACTCTACATTTTGACATATTCCTTACTATACATACATTATAATGGGGAAACACTGCAATTAAAAAAAAAAAGCTGGTATTGGATATAAATATCTGAATGGTTAGCAGGTGGCTACTCAGAAACACAATGATTTATTTTTCTCAATTGTGGGATGCCGTATTATGTTGTATTAAGCCACACCACAAATTAAGCTAACATTTATGGATAATGTTTAATAATAATATTAAATAGATCTTGAGGGAAGAATGCTGTATGATGTCAACTTAAGTTTTGAATTGACTTAACAATGTAATAGACATAACATGATGATTCCATGGTATAAAAACCACATTTCAGTTAGATTAGCCACCTGCTAACTACATGGGTCCCAATCCAGCAGCCACTTATGTATGGGGTTTAATTTATATATAAATAAATTAATGGAGATATCCTATCTCCTAGAACTGGAAGGGACCTTGAAAGGTCATCGAGTCCAGCCCCCTGCCTTCACTAGCAGGACCAAGTACTGATTTTGCCCCAGATCCCTAAGTGGCCCCCTCAAGGATTGAACTCACAACGCTGGGTTTAGCAGGCCAATGCTCAAACCACTGAGCTATCCCTCCCCCCCATAAACCCCTTCCCCACCATAGGGATTGAACCAGGGCCCTCAGCATCCCAGGAGAGTGCCCAAACCTCTACATCAGAGAAGGCAGCTCTTTGTAAAATTAAAATAGTTATGTACATGAATAGTACCAGTGAAGCCAAAAGGACTAGTTGTGTGTAAAATCAAGCATATGTAAGTGTTTGCACAACTGGGATCTGAGACATTTATATCTAATCCAAATTATTTATTTCAGATTTTCAGTTTATTATGCAAATGTTTAAGGAAATTAATTCTTACTTTCTGCAGATAGTTCACTGAAAAGAAGAGTTTCCAACTACAGCTTTCTTTTGCAATGTTTATAGAGTACTGAATTATGAGTGCACAATAACTTTGCAAATCAGGCAACTTATTTAGTTGCCTAAACGTGGATTAAGATACCTAACTTTGGGCACCCAAGTTTGAAAATGTTGGTCTATTTCAAACCCAGTCCAAACCTTATGCCTACAGCAGTTATATTACTAAACTCTTCCCACATTTAATTAGAAATTACAGACACTTTGTAAAGGTATATTCCAAATTCATCTCTAAATCAACCAGTCAAGTCTCTTGCATATTATCTTACCTCTCCCATAACTGCTATAGGTGTTTCTCCTGTTGCCTGAGCAACACGATGTTCTACTAAGTAAAACATGTACTCGTCATAAAGCAGGCGGATCAGATGAAAAGAGCCAAAGCTAGCAGCACTGCGCAAGGTTAAGTCTCGAATAACCATTGAGCTGTTTAAAAATGAAAAAAAAAATATATATATATATATATATAAAATAAATATTAAAATTACCCCATATTTACAATTACATGCTTTACCCCTATGTCGAATTAACTCAGAGAAGAATCTTCTGCAGTTAACATTATTCACAGACACAAAACTCCTGAGTTATGGGGGTTTCGGTGTGCAATGTCAAGGAAACCAATGCAGGAAAGATATCAAAAAATATTATTTGCCTAAATACTCCAGAATCTATATACCATGCCTTGCTCTGCAAATATGGATTATTTTGGCATAGACCCAGCCCAAACATTTCTCAAAAGTTAAATAGAGTAGGTGAAATTGCATTTCTATATTATACTATTTTCAGAGAAGTCACTTTACAGGTAAACAACTTTCCCCTTTCTCTAAAATTATCATCTGTGAGACCACACTCCTAGAATCTAGGAGCCAGATTTTCAAAAGTGTGTTTCTTTATGCATGCACACCTTTCAATGCATTGGTATAGAATCATCCCAATTTGGGGGCACACATTAAAGGTTACATGCACATCAGTTAGGCACATGCAAAAATCAGCCGTTTGAAAAACTGGCATTAAAATACAAGAAAGAGTCTTCTACTTGAATCCTAAATAAAAAACATTGTATTATAATTATTCTAGTTTAAACAAAGATCTGAAAGTACAAAAGGAAATATGTCTTTCAGCTATACCATCATTCATGCCAAAACTGCAACACAATGATACAGATTTCTCATTGATACAATTTTCAAAGCTGGTCATGTAAGTTGTGCCAATAAGTTAGCCAGTGTACCTGTTGTATATACAAATGCAGTTTTTGTTTGAAAAAAACTCCACAATATTAGACTCATAAAACAGATACTATAATGGATCATCTTTAAAAAATTAAGAAATGTTCTGTCAATGTACTTTATACACACAGAAAAAAGTTACATAATGTAACCATGTATTTATATACAAACATGACACACGAAGAATATACTTTATTTACCAGCTCTTCTTTGATAACAGAAGCAGAGCTAACACAGAATATTTACTTTTAGCTTGATGTTCTTCCGCATATTAAAGAAGTCTGTCTTCAAAATGAAATAAAAATAGAAGACATGGTATTTTAATAAATAAATATTAATAAAAATAATTGTACAGTTATATAGTGTTTCATCCCAAAGATTTCCTGAACATGTTACAAACTTAGGACCAAATTTTGCTCTCATTTGCACTTGTACAATGCTTCTGAAATAGTTCACAAGGATCGCTCCTCAACCACTGAGTTGCATTCTGGCCTTGAATTTGAGGTTAATATAACCCTACCCTTTTGAAAAATGCTATGGGATCTTTAATAATGAGTGTTCTATGGTCTGATCTTATTTTTCTTCAATGTTATCAAAATCTCCGTGTGTGCGCACACATCAACAGCAAAGTATGAAATACACTGAAAACATTTAAGAAGAATTTTAAGAACTACCTGTAGAAAGACCATTTTAGCAGAAATTGCCGTGCTGCTTTAGGAAAGCTGGGTCTTCCTTCATATGGTTTCAATGCTTGCATCATTACGTTATCGAGCCAGGCAGCCCACTGCTCCAGAGTGCTCTGCTGCTGAAGAGTCATCTTGAAGTCGGTTTCTAGTCTCTGAACCATGTTGTCATCACACTGGCATACCCAGGAAGCCTGCTCCTATTACAGTACATAACATATCTTCAATTAACATCAGTACATGAAGCTTATGCATAAAAGGAAAATTATTATGAAAGATTAAATAATCAGCTGAATGAAGAGGATGAACTACTCTTTCCAGGTAAACTAATGAAGCCATTTTTATTTTTAAATCCCCCATAATCTCATTCTTACAAAAAATAAACAAAATATGAAAATGGGTTTTAAATAAAATACATAAACTAAGAATACTATAGAAAAAACAGAAATGAATAGAGAGTAATACTCAAATATTTTCATATGAAACGTCTTTAACTCTAGTCCTTCCTAACGTTTATAATGAAAATTTCAGGAGTTGGTGGGTTATAGGGAGTGTAGTGGCAGCATGTTGGGTGAGCAGGAGTACTAGTGCAGAGAGTAGTAAGCAGTGGGTGAGATCAAGGCTGTCCAAATTAATTATGCGATTTATAGTATATTTATAGAGACACTGGAATCACATTTTAAATAGAATAAATAATTTGAAACACATTGTGACCATAGCAGGTAAGTGTACTACTTTTAAATGTTTAAAAAAAAAAAGTGAGTAGGACACCCTCACTAGAAATATTGCAGTAGACCTCATCACAAGAGAGAGGCATTAGTTCTAAAAACAGGTGGACTCCTCATTTGCATCTCCACTAAATGAAAGTCAGCAGAACACTTTGGGTTAGAACAGAGGAAATCGAGAGGAAAAAACTCTGATTTCTTTCCTTCCTGGGGACAGTTGTGTAAAGACGCACTCAGTATACATCTCGGCAAAATGTTCCTGTTGCATTTTCTGGGTGGAAATATGTGAGCTAATACTAATGTTCAGAGTTATGGGGAAAACAAAAGAGAACACTTGATAAACTCTCTGTTTTGTAAAGCTACAGTTTACCTGGACATTGGCAAAATCAACACGGTTGAGGTCATTGAGCATCTGGTTGATTTGAGAAGTGTTCTGAAGCACAGCACGAGCTGCCTGAGCCAGGTGATTAAGAGATGTGTATCTTCGCAGAGTCTGGGCAAAGGCACTTACAGCGGCAACCTATGAAGAAATCCATTTTCTCAAATCATGTTGTACTTACATTATTTTTGGATCAACTTGTCCCTTGATGATTCTTTTATATTACATTTTAATTATATATTCATTTTGTGTGAGCCATCTTACGTGTGAATCACAGCATTTAAAATTACAGATCAAATAATGTTTTCTCATATGTTTTAAAGAATTTCAGCAAACAAAACAAACATAACAGCATTTGTTGTAGTTGTCAAAATGCTACTATTTTTACTATAGTCATTAACGTCATTCAGGCTCACTGTTGAATAATGCAACTTTCATTCCAAACTAAATGGTTACTTAATTTTACCTTGGTTTGTATCATTCTCTGTGGAATATTGTTCATGGCATTGGAAAGCCAACCTTCAAGGCTTTTTGCAAAATTGCGAATGGCTTGGGTCAAGGCACCTAAACATTAAAGAATAAAAACCAAATGAAAAAGAAGTGCCAGTACTGAAACCTTCATGTCCTCTATATTTTAATATTCTATACTTATGAGATCTGCTGTTTTTACATACTCAGAGGCTTATCCAGTCTAGGTTCAAAATTCTTCATTCACATATATAATATGCAAAAATTATTTTATTTTCAGCTTTTGCGAGCAGAACTGACCTCTTTATCTAAGAAGCTTTCAAATGTCTATGGCCAAAGCAACAAAACACCAGTGGTGAGTACTGTTTCAGGTATTTCTGTAGAGGAACATCAATAACTGTAACAACTGTTTTGTATCTACTGAAACAAGCAGGATTCTCTTTACATCATTAATTTGCAACCTTCCAGTGCAACTAAGTGCTTTTTCTTCTCCGGTACAGAGAGGCTGTTGAAAATTGTGATTATTACAAAAGTACAATTTCCTCAAGTTAGCCCAAATTGTGCTGCACCATCACCAACATACTGCTTATTCCAGTTTTAAAGAATAAAATACGTTAGTGCAGTGCTAAAAGGCAGTATCAATCAGCAAAATATAACAATACACATAACTGATAGAAAGTGGGGTTATTCTTACCGTGGAGAAGCCTCTGTTTCCCTTTCCCAGTACAGCTCCCTCAGCACTGATGAGTGGTCCACACAGGTGGTTCGAGAGAAATTTTATAGACCTGTCGATGAGCCTGTGACATCATATTCCCTTCTATAAAGGAAGAGATGGACACTAACCTGCATTTCTCAAGTGAGAAAAAGTTCTAGTTCATGAAGGGGGATGGAAGGGAAATATGTGCTGAGGGAGCTACACTTGGAAAAGAAAACAGGAACTCCTCCACAGTAAATAAAACCTCACTTTTCCTTACCTCTCACTTGCTCTCTCAAGTATAATATATATATCTACCAAAACAGTGTCACATAAAAGAGAAAGGAAAACTATAAGTGTCAAAAGACTCATGATGAATAACGCAGTTGTAATAATGGTGTAAAGAAACCTTGAAAGGGGGAAACTCAATTGTCTTTAAAAGATTTTGAATGACGAAAAGGAAACAATGCAAATGTCTGTAATTGAGTATTGATTGGGTCTATTTATAAAATCATCTCTCTCTGGTAGAGTAAGAATTAGTTATAAAGAAAAGTCATATTCTTTGAGAAATATCCACTTACAACTAAAGTAACTAATGATTCCCTTTGTTAAAGTGTGTATTTTTTAAAGGAATCAAAGTTAGTTAGATCTACCAAAAAAGATAAAGTTATTTGTCTTCCTAGCATATTATTTTGTTTTCAACTATGCAGTGGGAATTAGCGATGGGTGAACCTGGTAAGGTCTGAGCCTTGTGATGTTGCAAAATTGGGCTGAAGTCTTATGAGAACAGGCTTTTTCATGAGTTTTCAAGCACAAAAAAAAGACTTCTTTTTTCTGGTCTGTCAAATACCTCGCATACTTTTGGTGCTATGCAAATTTATTTCTGTACACTTATTAATTACCTGTGCATTAATGCATGTGACCAGTGGTTTTATAGACTTTCTTTAATACAGTGTTCTTTGAGCTGTAACTACTGAGTTAATGATATTAGTTATCTAAGGCAAAATTAGTCTTTTCATGGACAAACACTGTACAACAGATATAGTAAAACATCTCTTTCATATACTCATCTTTCAGAGCAAAGTATCTCTAATCTACTTTCAAAATAAGTGTGATTAAAAAGGAAATGAACAACACCTTGATCGAATAAATGTTGTCTTTTGTTGCAAAGAAAAAGAGGAATAGATGATAGTAAGAGACATGCTAACTTCCAAAGCAGGAAGTTTCTTTTATGTATATAAAATAGATTATTTAATATAAAAATTGTATATATTAACCGTGAATTTCTAAAGACCTCAGAGGGAGAAGTGTCATCGTAAACCCAAAACAATGTAAACCCAAAACAAATTCTGTGCCCTCTTTGTTTCAATCAAGCGAATGCATGCTACCTAAATGTGTGCCAGCCTTTACTTCTTAAGCCCTATTCTAGAGAGGAAATTAAAATCTCTTATTTTTCTTTGAAGCAGTGATTGTTCATGTGCCTTGTAACTACAAAAGACATTAAAACGGCATTTCTTTAGACATTCTTGGTGCTGATTTGGCTATCACACAAGAAAACTAATCTAGAGAGTGACAAGGTGAACTTGCATGCAGTTAACATGAAAGTGACCTGAGCTGCTTTTGATTTGTTACAGCCTGTGAAGTGCTGTTGTCAGTAATAAAAGGTTTTGCAGAAAATGGCATTGTGAGTAGTGCCTTTTGTTTCATTAGTGTCATGCCAGCTGATGCTAACCTCAGAACTAAAAGTGCTCATCTTCTATAAGAGTACCAGAATCGCTAAGGTGACGGCACCAAGAAGATCATCTTCATGGAAAGGGTGGGCAACAAAGCAGGTTGCAAGGGCTTCAAAAGGCGCTTTCGTGAGAGCAGAGAGAGATATTCAGGTCCCAGGACAGGGTAGGTTTTTGTACTTGTTGAAAGGCATTGAGCAAGCCATTGAGGAAGCAAACGGTGGTTGGGTGAGTAAAGATGGAGGAACTGTCTAATGGAGGGAGGAAGGCTCTGAGAGCCACCAGGTGGACTCTGAGGAAGGAGTGGGTGAGGGCCTACAGTTTAAGTTGGAGGAGGTAGCCCAGGAGGATAGGAATGGATATGGAGTCAAGTGGGTAATGGTGGTGGTATGCCCAAGTGGTGAAATGCTTCCATTTTGCCTCATAGCAGGCTCTGATAGATGGCCTGCTGCTGTGCGTGAGGATGTCATGCACCAGGGTGGAGCATGCTCTGTCTACTCGCGAGCCCCATCCAAATACCAGGCTGTGAAGTGGAGCAAGCACCTGTTGGGGTGTCATCCCTGCGCCTGTGTGAGAAGATCTGGGTGGGTGTGGAGGTAGATCGGGGGTGGGGGGACGACAAGCAGGGAGATGGAGGAGGTCCATGAACCAGTATTGACAAGGCCAAAAGGGGACGATCAGTATGACCTTCACTTGATCCCACTGAATTTTGTGCAAGACTTGCGGGAGTAGGGGAAAGGCATAGCGGACTTTCTTGGTATAGGGCCGGAGAAGGGCATCACCCTGTGAGTCCGGCCCCAATGCCCATCTGGAGCAGAAGAGGAGGAGTTTGCAGTTCTCAGTGGTCACAAAAAGTTCCCAGCACAGGGTGCCCGCCCCACCAGCGGAAGACAGAGCATCATGTGGGATCACGTAGTTCCCACTCATGGTTTGCATAGAAAAACCTGCTGAGCGTGTTCGCTAGGGAGTTGCTGACACCCAGAAGATACACGGCTTGTAGCATCACATCATGCTTGATGCACCCTTTCCAGAGTTGGATGTCCTCTGCACATAGAGTGTGTGACCTGGCACCGCCTTGCTTGTTGATATATACAACTGTTGCCATGTTGTGGGACAGCAGTTGAATGTGATGTGATCTTATGAGAGGGAGGAATGCCCGACAGGCAACTCTCAATTCCAGGATGATGATGTGCATCTTGGCCTCTCTCGGTGTCCAGAGGCCTGGGCCATGTGACTAGACATGTGGGCGCCCCAACCAGTGAGGGAGGCGTCTGTGGTGAGAGTGGTGCAGGGAGTGGGAGGTGTAAACAGGGTGCCAACCAAGCCTTTGACAGGTCGGTCCACCACATGAAGGAGTCTAGGACAAACCAGGGGAGCAGGACAGACTTGTTCAAGCAGTCTGTCTGTGATTTGTAGATCAATCTGAGCCACAGTTGAAGGCAGCGTATATGGAGGCAGGCATGGGTTGCTATGGAGGTGCAGGCCGCCATGTGGCCAAGGAGGGAAAAACATTGGTGGATACAGGTGCGCGGTTTGTGGCATAATGTTGTGATGAGAGAGGTGAGGACGGCAAACGGGTCTGTTGGGAGGAAAGCTCAGCTCACGAGAGAGTCCAGGAGTGATCCATTGGGTAGCGATGAGGACTGGCTTTTCCTTGTTATACAAATGCTCAGGTTGGTGAGGAGATTGCAAAGGGTCTGAATAGCTGAAAGGAGGTGGTTGCATGATGTCACAACGAGGAACAGTCATCAAGATAGGGAAACATGGAGTGGCCGAGGCATCGCATGTGGGCTGTAATGACGGCGAAGACTTTTGCGAATACACAAGGAGCAGTGGCAATGCCGAAGGGGAGTACACAAAACTGATAATGGGAATGAGCAACCGTAAAACGGAGAAATTTCCAATGAGCCAGGTGACTGTTGATGTGGAAATATGCATTTTTCATATTGAGAGCCGCAAACCAGGCTCCGTGAGGGAGGGAAGGGATAAGGAGGGAAAGTGTGACCATCCAGAACTTGAATTTTCGTATGAACTGTTGAGTAATCGGAGGTCCAGAATGTGGCAGCAGCTGCCTGTTTTTTTCAGAATAAGGAAATACAGGGAATTAAAGCTGCAGCCCTAGTAATGGAGGGGAATGTGCTCCATGGCGCCCTTTCGGAGAAGGGTGCCTGCTTCCTCTCAGAGGAGATCTCAGTGGGAGGGATCTCCAGGAGCGTGCTACGAGGGGGGAATGAGGAATTCTATAGAGTAACTCTGATGAATGATGTCAAGTATCGAGCGGTCTGTGGTGATCTTGCCCCAGTTGTGGGCAAACAGGCAAGACAGCCCCCAAAGATGACATGGGGCACCGTGAAAGGGGTAGGAGGAGGTTCAGAGGTCTTGATGGGGGAGTCAAAATGGGTGTTTTGATTGATGTTATGGGAAGGTTGAGGGGGCAGAAGTGGTAGCAGTGGAGTAACGCGGTTGCTGATAGCACTGATGATGTTGGGACGACGCCTGTTGTTGTTGGAATTAGGGTTAGAAGGAGATGTGGGGGCAGGGCGAAAGGACAACCTCTGCTGCCTGCAGGTCGGGGCCTAGGTGTAAATGGTGAGTGACCACTTAGTGGCATGGGAATCATTGAGAGTGTGGAGGGATTCATCCGTCTTGTCACTAAAGAGCTTTTGGTTGCCAAAGGGAAGGTCCTCGAGAGTAGACGGTGCTTTGGCTTATGCTCCTTCCGGGGCTTCTTGGGAGCTGGAGCAGCCGGGTCGATGCACAACTCTTCACCTGACCTGGCTCAGGGAGGCAATGCTGTGTTTCAGGGCAGTCCCCATCGGGGAGCTGCCCTTACGCCCATGTCCATGCTTCTTATGCTCATGGTGGGGCTTCTGTGGCAATACTGATGGCTCTGTTGCACAGGAGCAAGACAGAGGGGCACTCACCAGAGGTGACAGATACCATTCTGGTGGATCTGCCAGTTTCGAATCAGACTGCACAAGTGGGCGCACAGCCTCCTCCATTAGAAACGCACAGAGGCAAAGTTCTTTAGCTTCTCGATTTTGGAGCGGGAATGATGAGCAGAAGGAACAGCCGGTGACGACGTGGGATTCGCCAAGGCAGTAAAGGCACAGTTGGTGCTCGTCACTCACAGAAAAGGAGTGTGGGAATGAAGCATGGCTTTTGAAGTTGGCTTGCCAGGGCACAATCCCCAGAAGCCGAGGGGGGGAGGAGGAATATCTCCCCGATGGGGGAAGAAGTCCAACAGGGATCCTAACTAATTATGAGTCTTACAAGCTACTATACACTATATACACTGAAAAAATGGACAAGCAGTTCTTTTAGCAAGGCTAGCAACTGGAGCAGTGTTGACCTGCAGATCCTCTGATAACTTCGGATGCGAGCACGCGGACAATGCACAACACACATGCAGGTCAACGGACGCTACTACTACTTTTCCAGCTCTGGCGCATGGTGCGCATGCGCACCCATGTTTGGAATTCATATAGGGACCAGCACTCAAAGAAGAACTTGTACCTGTTGAGACAATCACTACCCCTTTTTGCTCTCAGCTTCCACTCTTACTCTTGAATGATGCTTTTTCCAGGGGGCCCATTAGCAAGTCAGTTTCACCCATCTCTGTTCTTATGGGGCCAGCCACATAAACCCAAATTTCCCTGAATCCTGTATTTAGCCTATTGTGGTGAGTGGAAGACATTTTCTCGACCTCTGAAGCAGGTAATAAACTACTGCTGCTCCCACTACTGCTGTTTTTGCATTGGCATTTTATATCCTGTACTGAGACACATTCCAGAGTGCACTGTGCTAAAGGACTAAATCTGGATTAAATTTAGGGTTTTCTCTTGAGCTAAATGTACTTTGTGACAGAACAGTACCTTTTAGTCGTTGAATTAAAGGGTCACAGTAAAAGGGCAAGGGGCGTTTTAACTCTCACTAATGCAGAATGGTAGGGGTGGAGGATGGGGAATTTAGGGGAAGTGGGCCTACTTGTGTGCCTTCACTCCTGCAAAAGATCAGGATGGGAGAAACAGGCTAGGTAACTACTCCTGAAGATCCAAAAAAAGGAAGTGGATCAAATATCTGCCCTCTAAAGATATTTGAAGAGGTGAGGGTATGGATGGGAACCCACCAGGATACCATAAAAGATAGAAAGAGGCTTGTTGGTGGTAGGTGGTCCTTGGATTAAAAGATATTTCTATCAAGCATCATCCAAACAACAGGAATCCCACATACAGCATATATAATCATCCAAATCTAACTAATGGTATGTTCATCCATTACTGCATTTCATTCCTAATGGAAATCCTTTGTCAATAATGACAAACAGAATGAAGAGGACCCAAACATATGCACATATCAGCACTGGACATATATGCTCCATCAATGAAGAATTTTTTGAAATCCTGCGCTGACACTGCTCCATCTAGCTCATGAAGTAAATTGAGAGTAGGCAGGAAGATATCATAGCTAATAAGCTAATTTACAAAACTTCTCTGGGGACTACCAGTCAATGCAGAGGAAGCAAGTGAAAGGCAAGAGAAAAAAGCAGGATCTGGTACATAAAGCATATACACACACACACACACACACGTTAAAATATTCCATGATAACTTCACTTATGCAAAATATTTTTTTAAATCAGAAACTACTTTGTGTGGATGGAATGGAAGACTATTTTAATAGCTCTTTTCTCCTTCATTCAAACCTCAATTCAATTTATGAACTGTAATTGAAATTTTTTTTTTATATTTGTTTGAGCTGGACTGAATTCTCTTAAAAATAAGATTCCACCTATTCACATTAAACAGAAAAATAAACTCTACCATAAACATAGGTTAAAGCCAATTAGTTTAAGTTTGTAGACGAAGGTTGCTTATTTAATCTCTGTATTTAAAAAGGATAATCATTCAACATTTCTTCTTCTCTTTTCTACTTCATTAATAAAAGGGTAAAATACAACTGCAATCCACCAATATCTTACTCTTTGCCTTTTTAACTATAAAACTTAGGGAAAAAATTGTCTTAGTATATAGTTGGCATTTGGACTTTTAGATTTACAAAGCTAAAATTTCTTGTACCACAAGTAATGTACTGTACTGTATATAGTAAAGTTCCATTCTGTTTCATTAATAAGTGAAGGTCAGTAGCATGTTCTTACAAAGGTGTAGGTGTAATTTTTTTCTGACCTGTCTGTAACTGGAATCATTAGTAGCAGTTGTACTGACACTAGCAGAAAATAGCTTTGTTAGTTACAAGGCTATCTGGAGGCACCATCTCCTTTAAATATTAATCCAATTTAACTATGAAATGACTACTGTTTGGTTCATGAAGCGAACACAATGCATATGTAGCTTTATCTGTACAGTATCATTATTATTGTTAATGGAAAATATATTCATAACATTTAGCATGACATAATGCATACTTTATAAAGGAATTCAACTTTGCTGAAAACCAAGGTGAATTAGTTTTCTGTCAAAAGCAGTCATAAAATGCACTGCCTGAGCAATTATGGATTCCAATAATTTTAGCTTTGTAAAGAAAACTGTACTCCTGAGTAAAACAATTTGATAATGGTTGGCTGGCCAAGGTATTATACTACAATCAGTCACTGAGTCTATCATGTCGGACATAGAACAAAAAATGTGATAGCCTGGAAAAACGAATAAGGCTAAAAATGTTTGACTTTGCATTACACTATTTTAATAGTAAAATGTAACATTAAAATTCATAACCTATTGACTTTAGCAACCCTCTGATCAACAACTGTTTAGTTGTCCAGAAACGAAAGCATACAGCATATACATAATTTTTATTAGCTATTCAAAGGCTAATATAAAGCCTAACCCAAAGCCTACTGAAGTAATTGGAAAGACTGACTGATATCAGTGGACTTTGGCTCAGACCCATAGTGTGTTGGAGTCTATCATGTAGACTAGAGTACAAAGGAACAACGTTTTTGATACTAAAGTATAACAAAATAAATAATATACAATGACAAAAGCATATTTTTTTAGGAAAATGTATCCTGAAAACTTCTGGAAGCCTGTTTCTATCCTCTTATAAATGTGGTGAAATCACCAATCCCTTTTTCTTTAAATACAATGCATACACCTACTACTACCTTTCTACACTATAAAACTAAGAGTGACCACATATACTACTCCTGTAGCCTTCAAAATGACTCCCAAAGGTTTCCTGGGAGGTATTGTAGGCATAAGATCACCAGACAAAAAAAAAAATCCTTACAAGACGTCATCTGTGTTCAACTTACTAGGAATAGGTCTAAGGACGTCAGGAATGAGAATCTCCACCAAAGCCTGGTACATCACATGGTCACAGTTACACATCCATTTCAGAATAGTCTCATTTTTGCACAGAGTAATCAGCTTTGCTTTCGGAAGTCGACTTTCTATTTCACTCAGATTGCTGGTGTGAACAAATGTATCAAATGAATAAATGAAAATGCATATACATGAAGATAGAAAAACAATGGACTTTAAAATATTTTATTTAATAAAACATTATAGATGTCTGAACCACACCTAACAGCACTGCTGCACCTTGTGTCACATGAGATTGAAAAATGGCCTTCAAATTTCTGCTACAGCACATAACTTATGCAGAGGTATGATAAGAATGGTCCTTTTATCTCAAAAAGATTGAATACAACGTTATGAAAAGATACCTCTACCGTAGTCATCCAAACCAAACAAAATGGTAGCTATACATATACAAACATTTCAAAAAAGTAATTTGTGGTAAACACTAGTTAGCGTGGACAAACATTTTAGACAGCATTAATTTAACCTGGTAAATTAATGATAGCATGTTAGGTTTCCAGTTAGTATGTAAAACTATACTTCTTTTTGATTTGACATCTGCAATTAGATGACGATAATAACCAATAAAAGAGACATTTACTGACCTCGGTTCACTAATAGCAGTGCCATCAGCTTGAGTGGAGGGAGAATAGCGCCAGAACGTTTGCCACAATTTTTCTATCAGGCTAAACTGAAGATTCACTACAACATCCAATATTGCCTGAAAAAAAATAATAAAGCAAGTGCAGGTAGTCTTCTACCTAAATTTTCGTTAGCAGGGTATGTTATGACAACATTTATATACTGGCTATATTTTGCCTAATTAGGTGGAATAGTGGTGAAATGCATGTTTCTAATCTAACCAATGATCAGATTATATATCCAGTATGTGCAGAGAGATACACTAATCGAAGTATAAGTGAATATGAGGCAAAAAAGAGAAGGTCTACCCTAAACAAACATATCTGATGAATTCACATAAGCAAAACTTTTAAAATAGCTAAAAAATCAAGGGAGACAAGGTAAATTTGCCACGACTACTTCTGCACTGAAGGTTCATATATCTTTTCCCTTTCACATCATTATTTGAAATAGTTGTAATAGCCACAGAAATATTCCAGATGAAATGTGGCTTAAAGCACTCATCTCAGAAAACTTGTTTTTGCAATACTTGAAAAACATATTTGTTTCTTAATATAAAAAATAGAAATGATTAATTTAATAATTTAATATAGATTTATACTCCCACAGCAAAACCAAAATATTGTATGCAAAATCTGAAATCTAATTTCTCTAATCGAAAAAAGGTCAAGAACAAACTTTTTAAAAACTGACAGTAATTTTCATTCTCAATATTCTATAAAATATACTAATATTGGCTCTTCTTACAAAAAGGAGAGACTCCAGAAAAATCTTATTGTAAAATTTCCATTAGAACTGAATAAACAAACTGCTTTTTAGACAAGTTAGACACTCTCAGGCTATCTATAATATGTTTTGTATTGTCATATTGCATTGAGAGTGTTTGACTTCTAGTGAAAGAATCAAAGGTAAAACAGTGTATATGAAATACATCCTTCTTACCTCACAGTGCTCTCTATAAAGACTCTGCAGTGATTTGATATCCTCAAACGTAGTACCATCTGGCAAAGAAGATATTTCAACTTCTCCAAACTCTGGAAGTACTCGAGATGCATCTGTTTCCATGACAACATAATGGAAGAAAGCTATTGTGGATGGTGCCAATTACAGTTTAATTAGGAAAACATTTAAGAACGATACAAAGAAATAAATTCTAAAAGGTCATAGTACCCGAAGAACAAAGACTTCCTTATTTTTATAAATAGCAATAAAAAATTATCAACACAAAATTTTAAACAAACTATTTTTTTTTAAGTAGAAGATATATTATACTGTAGGATATGTAACATGCTAAAATGAAGTAATGTATATCCTACATGTCTGCACATCAAAGGCAAACACTAAGGTATTCAGTCTACAAGATATTTTCAGTAAATCACAGAATAAAGTACAATATGTGAGTTTATAGCATATTCACATTGACTAGGTTTTATTTTGCACTATTGAGCAGTTTTAGTACATTCAGTAGCACATTTGTCAGAGTATTCAGTGTTTATATTTGGAATTTAATGGACTTTAATGCATACCTAATGTGTACTTTCAGTATATTGCATTTAAAAAAAAAAAAAAAAAGTGTGAGACCAGTTATGGGTGGAAGTTTCAAAAACACTTACCACTGGCCTAAATATGCTCCCACTGAAGTCAATGGGAGCCAAGTTAGGCCAATGATGAGTGCTTTTAAAAATCCCAGTTTATGAGCCGAACACTAAGTGTGCAATTATGTAATGGCATGTTCAAATCAGGTGGTTATATATGCAAATAGTTATTAAATTACCACTGCTGTGTGCATATGTCTGATTTATATGTTCACCTATGGTAAATGCTTCATGAACTGATATATGCACAAATTGCACATTTTTGTGCATGTAGACCTTGGACCACAAGTTTTCAAATTTTGGTCCTTTCAGTCAACAATAGTATAGATTATATCATTTAAAAATATAGCATACATGGCCATTTTTCCAAATAGTAATGGCTACATTGCAATTGCAAAGCTTGAATGTAACCCCATTTTACACACACATTCAGGAGTGAAGCATACAGTGGGTGTGAGCACAAATATTAAGGCATCAGTTTTAAGTCTGACTTTGTCAATTTGGCACACAATATATACAGTAAATTGTGTTGCAGTATATGTTTACAAGTATAGTGCAAATATAGATTTTGCACAACTTTTCTTCTATACATACATGAGGTATGTGAAAAGTTGCATAAGCTTCAAGATGTAGCATATAGTTTCTGTATATAACTTCTGGGCAGTGTTCCCTCTAATTTTTCCCACGCATATGTGGAATGAATTTTGTTATGTGCACCATCACCTCCATATCAGTGCACATAACAAAATTCATGTGGTGGGGGTGGGGCCGAGGGGTTCGGCGTGTGGGAGGGGGGGCTCAGTGCTGGGGCAGAGGATTGGGGCGTGGGGGGTGAGGGCTCCGGGGTGGGGCTGGGGATGAGGGGCTCAGGGCTGGGGCAGAGGGTTGGGGTGCAGAGGGGGGGAGGCAGGAGGGCTCCGGCTGGAGGTGCGGGCTCTGGGGTGGGGCTGGGGGATGAGGGGTTTGGGGTGCAGGCTGCCTGGGGGCTACGTCGGGGAGAGAGGAATCCCTCCAGCTCTCTTTCCCCGCAGCAGCACCTGGGCTGGGGGGGTGGGAGAGGCACCTCTCCCCTGGCCATGCCAGGTCCGTGCCGGGGCTGGGTTGGGGCCGGAGCGCCTCTCCCCTGGCCACAGCAAGTCCAGAGCAGGTCCGTGGTGGGAGAGAGGCGCCTCTCCCCGCTGCAGCCCCGAGCCTCTGCGCGGGGCTTAATAGGCAGCCGTGCAGCTTAGTGGGAACTTAGCTTCTGGGTGCCCCAATATGAATGACAGCTTTAATGGGACACCGTAAGTCTAGAGAGAATTGTGGTAACGGTATGACTTGGCATTCATGGTGATGCCAGATGTTTATTTTTATTTGTACACAAGTATAATGTACCCTCACATACCCAAAAACTGTTGATGATGTTGACTTTGGGCAATTACAGTTTGCTCAACAGATGTGCCTGTCTGCTGACCACTTCCTGTGAAACCATCTGCAACTCCATCCACTTTCTGCATAGGCTTGTACCTAAAAAATATTGGACACAAAATTAGACAAAATTATCCCTTTTATTCAACTCCTCAAAAGTCCACTGTTACACAGTATGATTCTGTCCACCTCAGTTGCTCTATCCTTCAATAGGATTTCTCCATCTCACAAAAATCTCAATATATAAAAGTTCTTTTCAACTAGATTCTGTGGTTGCTCTCTTCCTCTCAGGAATTAATTCAAATTTAAATCTGGCTGGGGACACTGATTCACTAAAACTATGTTCCGACTGGCCAGCTGGTTGGTCTAGCTGAACTGTGTTCACTGAACAAGGAAGTTGTTCAGTATTTCTCTTAATACTTATCATTCAATATGTGGTCCCCTTACCTTATTTACTGTACCATATCCAAACCCTGCAATGAATATGGAATTAATACTTGCCTCATTAACTTTTCTATGGCTCATCACTATACAATCTAGGCCTAACATACATTAAAGAGTGAGGGCTTTCTCAGACAGAGACCGAGGCAGGGAGATTAAGGTCAAAATATCAAGGTGGGTGACGTAATATCTTTTATTGGGTTAGGTAATATCTGCTGGTGAGAGACACAAGTTTTTGAGCCACACAAAGCTCTTCTTCAGGTATATTCTGAACTTAATGAATATCCTGTGACTGACATGGCTACAATTACAGTACATACAAAAATATCAACTAATTCTGGGTACCTTAATGATCGGTTGCCTAAACTGAGACACCTTAGGCCTGATTTTTCAGAGTCCTTAGCATTTTTATATTTAAAGGACTGTGCAGATATTAACTAATTAATCATTTGAACACTCCATGAAGTAGCTGAGTAAGCATCTTACAGATAGAGAAACAGAAACACAAAGTGACATGCGCTCCACAGTAAATCAGTGGAAGAGCCAGGATTCAAACTCAGGAATTTACTGATGCCCAACCCTATGCTCAGCTCATTCCTTCAGACCATACAACCTTTCTGCAAGAGAGATTGAGCCTCAAATGCTCTGGGTGAATTCAACTGCAATTGTGAGCACTCAGCTCTTCTGAAAACAGGCTCCAGGTGTCTAAAACTGAGCAACCTGAATACGAGGAACACACAATTAATGGTCATATGTGAAAAGTATGGTTTAAGGTAGTTGCTGCGCATCACATAGGAACTCTGAGATAGAATCCAATTCTCCAGGATGGCATTTAACTCCCTTAGCTATGAGACAATCCTTTCTCTTCCTGCAATCCCGTCTCATTCACCACACACCTTTCAACTTCTGCAACAAATAAAGCAGGGGTTCCTACAAACAACAGCCTCACTCACTGCACACTCTAGATTCGTTCTCTGAACACCAACCATCTTGTGCATTGAATGAGGCAGAGTCTGTGGAAAAAAAATAGTATGTGATCCTGTAATTAAAGCCTATATCATAATGTATACAAACAAGGAGGTAGAATTAACATTGCATGGACAATCTTAATTTTTGCATTTCCTAATGTTCAGGCCTTTGAAATCATACAAAAAAACTACATTGAAAGAATGGTATGTAATTTGCTAGGATTTTTTAAAAAAGCAAATGAATTCTGTTATGTGCAAATGTAATAACCTCCCTGTCATCAGCAGGATTTGACTTCTGGATATTCAACACTATGGCACCTATGCCACTAAAGTGAAAGGATTAACTATAGTAGCTGGCAGCAGAAATAGATTGTTCTCCATTGTGCAACAACCACTAGAAGATGGGTAACAAACTCAAATAGTGGATTACAAATTCATGAGTAGGTCCATTTGAAACACTGTATAGTTGAGTGTTTAGATTTGACAGATTCCTTCTAGAGTAGCCTGGCTAAACGGCTGAGAGTTGGGTTATATTTCCAGGCTGTATAACTCCTCAATGGGGTAGAAGGCCTTGCTCAAGAATAAGGGTTGCAAAGGACACAGAACTATTAACACTAGTCAGTAAAAGAAGTGAGACTTCAATTCAGAGTCTCCTGGTTTGCAGGGGGAGGATCTGTGTTGACTGTGTCCTGTCAAGAAGTGCACTATTTGTGGCATAATGAAGTAAGGCAGTGCACACAGTGTTGGGATGTTCAGGATTTTTACTCCAAGCAAGGAACAAGCTGTTGTGAGAAAAACACAGATGGGAAATGGTGATTTTGAACAGTTTGTAACTCAACCAAATCTGTTTGGATTTATATGGACACTTTGTCTTTGTGGAGCTTAGTCGGAAGTTTTGCAACTAGAGGGAAACGGAAACAAGGTAAACCTGAATGTCCTCCACGGAATGTAATCAACTGGAGTATTGTGTCCAGTTCTGGGCACCGCATTCAAGAAAGATGTGGAGAAATTGGAGAGAGTCCAGAGAAGAGCAACAAGAACGATTAAAGGTCTAGAGAACATGACCTATGAAGGAAAGGCTGAAAGAATTGGGTTTGTTTAGTTTGGAAAAGAGAAGACTGAGCGGGGACATGATAGCAGTTTTCAGGTATCTAAAAGGGTGTCATAAGGAGGAGGGAGAAAACTTGTTCACATTAGCCTCTAAGGATAGATCAAGAAGCAATGGGCTTAAACTGCAGCAAGGGAGGTTTAGGTTGGACATTAGGAAAAAGTTCCTAACTGTCAGCGTGGTTAAACACTGGAATAAATTGCCTAGGGAGGTTGTGGAATCTCCATCTCTGGAGATATTTAAGAGTAGGTTAGATAAATGTCTATCAGGGATGGTCTAGACAGTATTTGGTCCTGCCATGAGGGCAGGGGACTGAACTCGATGATCTCTCGAGGTCCCTTCCAGTCCTAGAATCTATGAATCTATGAATGGGAAAGGTGTTAACTTCCACTGTGGTCTGAATTTTTCCTGTGTAGAACAACAGAATTCCAGCCTGGGTATGCTTCATTTGAGGAAAAAACGGTTACCTACCTTTTTGTAACTGTTGTTCTTTGAGATGTGTTGCTCATGACCATTCCATTGTAGGTGTGAGCATGCCCACGTGCGCTGTCGGAGATTTTTGCCTTAGCGGTAACCAGAGGGTCAGCAGTGGCACGCCCTTGAGTGCCGCACCCATGTGTCGGTATATCAGGTGCTGCCGACCCTACGCTCTCTCAGTTCCTTCTTGCCGGCAACTCCGACAGAGGGGCAGGAGGGTGGGTAATTGAATGGACATGAGGAAAACATCTAAAAGAACAACAGTTACGAAAAGGTAGGCAACCATTTTTTTTTCTTCGAGTGCTGGCTCATGTCGATTCCATTCTAGGTGATTCACAAGCAGTGCCAATGGAGGTGGGCTCGGAGTTCATAGTCTTGCAGCTTGCAGCACTGCTCTGCCGAAGCCAGCATCGTCCCAGGCCTGCTGAGTAAGCACATAGGGGGACGTGAATATGTGGACAGACAGACAACCAGGTATCAGCTCTACAAATCTCTTGGATCGGCACCTGAGCCATGAGTGCGCCTTGACTATCGCCAGTGGAGGCAAATTTGCCAGCTCATAGCAGTATCAGATGCAGGCTGTGATTCAGGATGAAATACTGGGCAGACACTGGGCGACCTTTCATCCTGTCTGCCACCGCAACGAACAGCTGCGTTGACTTGCAAAACGGCCTTGTCCTGTCGATATAGAAGGCCAGCACCCTCCTGACATCCACGGTGTGTAACCTGCATTCTTCTTCGGATTTATGGGGCTTTGGAAAGAAGACCAGCAAGTCTATGTCCTAGCTGGTATGAAACTGGGAAACTACCTTGGGCAGGGCCACAACTGGACCTTATCTTTGTAGAATATGGTATAGGGCAGTTCTGAAGTAAGGCAGTTCTCTGCCCTGATCTCAGACATCCTGCGGGCAGACTTAACTGCCACAAGGAACAAAACCTTCTAGGAGAGAAGGAGAGGAGAGCAGGAAGCCAGAGGTTTGAAGGGAGGCTTCATGAGCCTCGACAGCACGAGATTCAAATCGCAGGGAGGAACAGGGTCCTGGACATGAAGGTATAGATGCTCCAGATCTTTCAAGAACTGGGCCGTCACGTCATGAGCGAAGACCGACCTGCCTTGGAACAGAGGGTGGAAGGCCAAAATAGCGGACAGGTGGACCCTGATCGATGACAGGGACAAGCCCTGAAGTTTGAGATGCAGGAGTTAATCCAGGATCACCTGCACCGAGGCCTGCTCAGCCCGGATGCATCGTTCCAAAGCCCAGCACATGAATCTTTTCCACTTGGCCAGGTAAGTCACTCTGGTGGAGGGCTTTCTGATACGTAGCAAGACCTGTTGCACCCGCGTCGAGCATTCCCACTCTTCTGCATTCAGTAGCCATGCCAAAAAGTACCATGCCTCCAGGTTTGGGTGCAGACTGCCGTGGTCCTGGGACAGCAGGTTTGGCCAGAGAGGGAGCTGCAGCGGGGCAGCTACCAAAAGGTCCAGCAGCGTGCCGAACCAGTGCTGGCGAGGCTACTTGGGGGCTATCAAGATAACCTTCACCCTGTCCTGTTTGATCTTCATGAGGACTCTGTGGATCAACGGCACTGGCGGGAAGGCGTACATCAGGGCCCCCAACCATGGGAGCAGGAAAGCATCTGACAGGGAACCCCCATTCATCACCTGGAGTGAACAGAACACGTGGCATTTCCTGTTCTGATGGGACGCAAACAAATCTACCTGGGGAGTTCCCCACTTTTGGAAGATCATACTGGCCGCCTCCGTGTGGAGTGACCACTCGTGGCGAGATAAAAAGGTCTTGCTGAGGCAATCTGCTAGCACATTTCTGGTCTCGGGCTGAGAGCTTCTTGGCAAAGGGCTAATGACCTGGTGCTGCCCTGCCTGTTGATGTAATACATTGTGTGGTATTGTCCGTGAGGACCTGCACCACCTTGCCCCTTAGGTGGGGCAAGAAAGCCTGGCAGGCCAGGTGAACCTGACATTGATATGAAGGGCCACGAAGGGAACTCCCTCCAACACCGACTCAGGGTTCAACCACCACTCCAAGAATGACAGGATGTGATCCGGCACCCTGACTACCAAGTCTAAATTGTGTCTGTTGGGG